GGGGGGGGCACAAAGGCTGCAAAAAGCCTGAAATAAGAGGAGACTCACGTGACGTCGCTGATCTTGGACCCGGTGGAAAAGGTCTTTTTGCCATTGAACTCGAGCTCGCCATCAGCGCCCAGCTTGGTGATGTGAAGATCAGCATCGCGAGCTGCAGCGAGAAGGGAAGCGGGATGCGATTGGTCGAAGCGGTTGGGAGGGGGGGGGAGGGGGGGAGAGTTGTTCAGCCAATTGAATTTCGAATGATTCATCGGGGCGGGAAAATCGACGATTTGGCATGCATGTCATGCAAGTGTCCCCCCGCCCCGCCTCGACTTTCCCAACGGCTTCGTGCTCGAACGCTCTATGCCATCCACACTCACGGTTGACTGCGCCTCCGAGAAAGTACTTGTTCTGAGTCAACCACTGCTCGATGCGCTCTCTCTGTTCATCGGTGCCTACGAGCGCTGCGGCCCAGAACCTGGGATGGGGGCGGTAGGGGAAGAAAGCATGCTTAACAGGGCGTGTGCTTGCAACTTAACTTGCCCTCGATTGCTGCCTTCCCTCACCAAATGTAATTGTAGCCCAAGCTGTAGAGACGCAATGCGACGCGGTGGGCGCGGGCAAAGGGAGGGGGGGATGGAAATAGTCGCGCGATTGCGAAAAACATTCAGATTCACGTGATTGAGATGGTTAGCCCAAGGCGCAGCAGCAGGGGACCCCCAAACGCAACGAACAGTCTTGAGTCGTGAGTAACAGTCACGATTCGTGCGCGCGCAAACTCACAGCTGTGCCAAGCTGCCGTCGCCCTGCGCGATGATTCTGACGACATGATAGGCCGTCTGCCAATCCTGCCCGCCTCCACCAGCGCTCTTTGGACCGAGCAGCGTGCAGAGTCCGCTATCCTTCAACAATTGCACCTGCCTATGGGGCACCACATTTCCGCGATCCCTAACCGCTTCATCCTTGTGCAGCAGATCGCTCACTTCTTGAGCGCGCAAGAGGAAATCTTGAGAGGTGGAGAGGAGTTGCCAGGATGTGGGAATGGGGTAGGATACCAGTTCGGGATCGGGCTGAATGCGAGAGAATCCGCCAGCGCTGGGTGGAGCGTGAAAGGTGGCCGCTGCTGCTGCTGCTGCTGCTGCTGCTCCATTCGCACCGTTGCTGGCTGTCGCTGATCCGTTGGGCTGCGACATGACTGCTTAAGGGAATAGGGTTGGCAGGAATGCGTGCAAGGTTGTGAGGTGAGGTGAGGTGAGGTAAGGTATGAGGAAGAGGGAGGATCACAATGGTGAATGAGGCGATGCGCTGCGCACCTCAGCAGGCAAAAAAGGGAGTTGTATATATGTACACACATCCACACACACGCTTGCCCAGTTTCATCACTCTCACTGTACTCGCTCATTCGTCGCTCTACTCACGACTTCTCACCTTGACTTGCCCCCTCCCCTCACATATTCATGGCAGACGAGGTGTGCTGCGTGGATAGACTGATCAGACTGATGACTCACTGTTGGAGTGCAGTCGTGATGAGTGTGAGTCACAGTGCTCCATCGCTCATCGCGGAGTCACAGCATGCGCGGAGAAAGGTGATGTATGTGATGCTGTACTCAGACTCACACTGTGCCTCTCTGGTGGAGCAACATAGCGCATGTGTGCGTCTGACTGTGCGGAAGCTGCAATCACGATCGAATGCTGTTAGGGCGTCCCAAAAACGTGACTCTGACTGATATTCGTCATTTGCGAGAGTCTGCTGAGTGAACCGTGCGCACGCACGCACGCACGCACACCCCGAAAAAAAACGACATTGTGCGATCAAATCACGCAAGCAGGTTTTGATTGAATGCTGCGCCGCGCTAAAATCGCCCATCGCCCATCGCCTCACCGCTTCTCTCTCATTTCCCCTCCCCCTTCCCTTTCTCGCCCATCGCCCATCGCCCCCAGCATCCGGCCTGTCATCTCGCGCCACATCGTCTGCGCAGAATGGTGTACGCTTCCTTCAAGATGGCGACAGTCGGTGCCGGTGCCAGTGCCAGTGCCAGTGCCAGTGCCTGCAACGCGGCTTTGGCTTCTTGTGCTCTGGGCACCTCATCACCGCCTTCTGGTGCTGGTGCTGGTGCTGCTGCAGAGTTGGCTGACCGCCCGGCGATAATGGTCGTTCCCCCTCCTCATGCACCTGTGCTATGCGTGATCAAGAGTCGGTGTGTGAGTAAGTTCGTGGACCAGAGCACACTCTGGACTCACACTCACGACGACGGTTGTGCAATCGAGATCGAGCAGCAGACCGGTCACGAGGGAGGTGTAGGCGACGTCACATGCAACTTCAGCAATGCCATGCAACCAATCGTCCATCGTTCACGCACACGAGCCCGAACAATCGTGAATCGAATTGGTATTTTGGACGCTGGCCAATCGCTATGCAACAGCAGCTTGAGCCCGGAGACCTCAGCTAGAGTACCAATGTGAATGACGCATGTCGACGTACTGCACCAGAAGTTCGGGTTTGGGGATCGATGACCAAGGAGAGGGGAAGAATGGTGATGCATGTGACACCGCAACTGCTGCTGCTGCTGCTGCCTGCATGCCCCGCCTCACTCTCCACCACCTCTTCGCCCTTCACATTCACCGTCGTCTCGACTTGAGCTGAAAGTGTCATATGGATAGACTTGTAGCATCATAGCATACACGCTTTGCAACGCTTCAGAAGCCCGCGCTATCACCATCAACGCTGTTCACATCTTGCCGTCGAGATGGCGGCAGCCGCAGTAGCATCCCACGCTTCGTCGTCCTCCTCCCCTCTGCCCGAGATCGGTGGTCTGGTGCTCGACGATGCGGCCTCAAAGCCAGCACCAGCACCAGCAGCAGCAGCATCACCTCCTTGGCTCGTCGACTCTCCTCACTGGCTCGTCGCATCGCAGCAAGAGGTGCATCTGGGCGGCGGATGGGATGAAGAGCCCATGGCAGGTCCCGCAACACCGCCCTCCTTTTCTCCTCAGCTGGGCACCAGCAAGACGCTCGAATCCTCATCGGCGTCCCTCAGCGGTAGCAGCGAAGAAAGCGGAAGGAGCACTCCCTCTGATAGAGAGCATGCTGCTACCTCTGCTGCTGCTGCTGCTGCTGCTGCGAAGAGGTCCAAGCAGGCCCTGGATTCTGGTTTGCTGGTCAGATCTACAAGGCAAGGTTGGGAAAGATCCTTCGATCTGAATCAAGGTTGGCCCACGCCCAAACTCGACGCGGAGGATGAAGTGCTGGTGAAGAACCTCGTTGCGGGTCTAAACCCCGTCGATTTCAAGAGGTGAGAGAGAGAGAAAGAGGGGGGGGGGGTAGCGCAAGTATCGGTAGCGCATCTCCTGTCATTCGAACGCTGAGCTTCCGATATTCGCGCTTCATCTCACCTTGCCCCTTCACACAACCAGCGTGCTGTACAACTTTGGCATTCCGGACACGCCTTGGGTGTTGGGGAGAGATGTTGCTGGTGTGGTGGAAACAGTTGGCAGCAGGGTCACGGACCTCAAGCCCGGTCAACGCGTGAGCCATCGCTAGCACCGCACGGCACTACTGTTTCTCCTTCGCACTAACCGCTCGTTTTGTGATGCCCTATCGCACACCAGGTCTGGACTTGCGCCGATTCTAGAGATGTACGGGCAGGGGCTTATCAGACTCGCAGCGTATGCAAGAGGGACCTGTTGTGCAGCGTTCCCGACAACGTGTCCGACGAGCAGGCTGCCACGCTAGGAACTGGTCTGATTACCGCTGCAGTCTGCGTGTATTGGTTCTTGAGGCTGCCTAGAGCGCTCAGCCTTGGTGATGGCAAGCGGATGGCTCGCAACGATGCAGGCGATCTTGAGCGAGAGGAAAAGGGAAGGAAGGAGCTGGCAACAGCAGAGAAGCCTTGGATCTTGTGAGTCTTGCTTGCGTCTCTTCAGTGTTTATCGGATCGAGACACTCTGAGCTCTTTGCCTTCGACTTGGATGCGCAGGATATATGGCGGCTCAGCCATTACTGGACAGTACATTGCCCAGTTGAGCAGGCTGGCTGGTGTACGCGTCCTGGTCATCGCAGCCCCTTCCAACTTCCAGCACCTGCGATCCTCCCACGTGGGCGTGGAAGCAGTGATAGACCGGCACTTGTCCTCTGATGCCATCCTCGATCAAATACAAGAGATCACAAAGGGTTCGCTAGAGTACGCCATCGACTGCGTAGGCTCCAAGACGGCGGCTGTGTGCGAAGCAGCTTTGCGCAGAGCCAACAGTCGAGATGGTCGAGCTGGACAATTGATCTGTCTAGCTGGAAATCCCAAAGCTCCAACGACGAGCGGTGGTGGGGAGGTGCAAGGGGCAAAAGAGGGCTTCTTGCAGCAGCCAGTACTTCACAAATTGAGCTTCTCGACTACAATCTACGGGGACTCTACTTTTGCTCGAGCGCTCAACGAGGACCTGCAAGCGCTCTTGGCCTCTGGAGAATTGCAAGCCGTACGGTACGAGCTTGTGCCGGATGGACTGGCCGGCGTGAGGTGAGTCGCGCTCACGTGCTGCTGTGGGACATTCAATCGTCTGCATTCACGATTTCGATCGGGGGCTGATATGCGAACGCCCTGCTTGCTCCCCCCTTTGACGCCCGTCAAGACGAGGACTGGAAGCTTTGAGGGATGGTACGGCTCCATCGGGTCACAAGCTGATTGTACGCATCACTGATACGCCTCATGCCGATAGCGTTCACCTCGGAGTCAAGAACGAGCTTTGCTGGAACGGCATCGCTTGATGCGCACGCAAACCCAAGGTGGGCAGAATTTGCCCTCATTTACATTTGACATCTATAGATTTGCTTTGCGAGTCCGCGTCAAAGAGTGTTCAAAGCTGAGAAAACGTACAGGGAGAAGTCGCACAGTGCTGCGCTCTGGTATAGATGCTCAAAAGTGTGCACGCGCGCATGCTGGGTACGGTACATTTGCCGCCGCCTCCCCCAAAAGGTTCATCCTCTTCGATAATAGCTCGGCAAGCCTGCAGGGTGTGAGCTGGTCTGGCTATCCAGAATAGAGTCGGGTCGTTGCGCAGCGCTAGGCAAGAGATCATTCTCCTCTTCCCTAGTGAGCCAGGTGTATGCTCGAATGACGCTAGCTCTCAAGCTCACGTCGCTGCTTCCATTGCTGCTCGCACCAGAGCGCGAAGAGTCCGAACGCTCGTGGCCCCGCCGCGGAGAGGGATCGCTGTTGTTGCTCTCGTCATGACCTCTGTCCGTGCCTCGCGTTCCTCGACTCGAGCGCCACGAATGCGAAGTCGTTTTCGAAGAAGCAGTCAAGGCTGAACTTGGTCCACGTCGACCATCGTCGTCGGGCTCGGGCTCGGGCGGACCGGCCGCGAACGCGTCGCGATGGCTCGTGCTCGGTGGAGTCACTGAAAACCGGCTCTGGGAAGGTAAGCCCGTCTCTGCATATTCGGCACCAGGATTGGTCCCTCCGCTGCCCTCTCTCGCACCCCTCGAACCGCCTCCGCCTCCGCTTCCGCTTCCGCTTCCGCTTCCGCTTCCGTTGCCGCTCGCTGTTCCTCGTCCAGATCCGCTCACAGCGCCGCTATTGTCGCCACTGCTAGCCGTTCCTTCGCGCGATCTGGGCAAGGGCCAGATCTGATCCTCACCAGCGCTGAGGTGCGCATCGCCAACCACTTCGCTCGCCTCCCCGTCCTCGCCAAACGTGGTCCTGAGGCGAGGTAGTCGTGCGCGCAAAGCAGCGGCTACTGCTCGAGTGCGCGGACTGGTGGGCGATGTTGGCCTGCTGGCCGCCAGATCTGCCGGCATCACCGTGCTCGCGACAGAGCCGCGGTGAAGCGCAGCTGGCGGTGTGCGCGGCAAGGTGGGAGCTGCAAAGGTGTGGGCGCTGGGTGATGGCGATGCGGACATCGTCCAGCCTGCAGGGGTGGGTGTGGGTGGTAAGGGTCTTCTGGCGCTTTGTGGCGTTGCAGGCAGGGCCCTGCGCCCATTTGGCGCGATGCCTGCTTGAATGTTCAGTGGTGCCGTCGATCGGGTAGTCGCAACGGGCGGGGTCAGTGGCACGTTGCCGTAGTCTGTGTAGATGGAGTCGGCAGATAAGGGTTCAGGGTACGGCACCATGGGAAATGTCGATCGACCTGGCGGTGCTGCCGGGCGCGTAGTGCTGCCGCTTTGCTCGAAGCCTCGCGGAAAAGAGCCAGTAGCAGGTGTAAGCTGAAAGTCGGTGGAAGGAGCGCTCGTAGCTTCGTTGTGCAGATGATGTAGTGAAGAGACGTGCGCCCGCGTGAGGGGAGGTCGAGGCATGGGACCCAGAGACAGCCTGTTGGATGCTGGCGAGTGCGTCTTGGACGAATCTTCTTGAGAGTGCTTGCCGTAGTCGCTAGTGCTGGGCCGTTCACCCGAGCCGCCAACGGTGGTACGAGTCACGAGCTGCCATGAATCGTCCAACGTGCCCTGACTGTAGTTAGGATGATGATTGGGCAGCGAATCTCTGTCGACGCCCGCTGCACCTACACCCGCAAGTCCGGCAAATGCATGTGGCTGCGCATCCCGCAACACCTCCTCATCATCCGGCATCGACGTGGGTCTGCTCCCACCGTTGACGACGTACAGCTGGCCGCTGCGCGGAGGCAGGTACGCTGGCACGGCCATGTCGCTACCCCTCATCTGTGTCGGTGAAAGAGGACGGTTCTGGAAAGCCATGCCGCCGTCGCCATGACCCGCGGCCACGTTGGCATTGAAGACCTCCAAAGCGCTAGGTGCTTTGCTCCGCTTCAAACGCCTTCGCGAGCCCGTGCTTCCGCCACCTGGACCTTGGGCAAGGATGCCTGCCGGGTCTGTCGGCTGCGCATCTCGCTGACGACGTCTACGGCAGAACAGGAACGCGAGCAGAGCGAGCACCGAAGCCGCGACTGCCCCACCGACAGCTATGCCTACGATGGCGCCCGTAGGTAGAGTTGTACTTGAAGATCCGTGTTGCGACGGAAGAGGTGTGTTGGTCAATGTGGGAATCGCAGTTGTGGCTGTTTGGGTCGCATCGCCCGAGAGGCTTGGCCCCTTCGACGAACTCGGTTCCACCGAGCTGATGCTGGTCGGCAGATTGGTAAAGTAAGTGTCGCTGGTCGTCGAAAAGGTTGGCGTGGCATCGCCAGTCTGAGGCTGATCGGACAAGGGCTCAGTGAAAATGCTGCCACCACTTCCAAAAGGCTGGCTGTACGGGGAGACACCGTTGGAAAAGGGATCGCCATAGTCGCTGCTACCGTACACATCGCTGTAGCCGTTGCCGTGGGAGAAGGAATAGGGGCCGCCGCTAGAGATGCCGCCGCTGCTGCCGGCTGGCCATGAGGACATGGATGGAGCGGCTGTGGCGGTTGGTCGAGGTGCCTGAGAAGGCGGCCCGGTGGGAAGCGTGTAGGCCGCGGTGATGGTCTGACCCGAGCAGTCGACCCAACCTGCGCCGAGGGGAACGTACGGTGGGCCGCAGTAGGATTGCGTGGGCAGCACGGAGCGCAGAGCGGCCGAGTCGAGGACAGGGGTGGAGGTGAAGACGCCTGGAGGTTGTTCGATAGGCGACCAGGTGAGCCAGGGTGGTAGGGATTGCTGTGCCTGCCCTCGCGCACCTTCGACGGGGACGGGAGCGTTGGCGGCTTGAGCGGAGAGTTGAGCGGGCACGGCACTCTGCAGCAGCAATCGATTGATCGAGTAGAGCACAGCTGGCGGCATTCGAGGGCCTTTGCAAGAGAGACGCTGTACAACAGAGCAGAGCGGGCGTTCGTGTGTCAGTCCGCTTCATCCAACGAGACGCTGCTCCGCACCGTCATTCGCATTGACGGTGCGGTGCGACCACTGACCTAGCGTCGCCCGAAACGCTGGCGGAGCTCCGAGGGAAGAGCAGAAGGAGGAGGAGGAGCAACAGCAACGGCGAGATGATGGGGCCTGGTGGATATGGAATCCGTGATTGTGATTGGATATGCTTTTCAGGATCCTAAAGGTGGGCGAGGGCGAGGCCGTCGAGTCGTCAGCTCCACCGTACCTTCGCGTGTCGTAGCACCTGAGCAGCAGCCAAGCCAAAATTTACCATTACCATGCCGGCGCGCAGCTGACAAGATGCGATCGTCCGCTGTCACCACCTTCTCCCTCCCATGACTGCACAATTTCCCATTTCCCATTTCCCTTCTTCTTGCCAACTCAAGACCGCCTCCACGTCGAAATCGCGAGCCATCGCCGACGTCATGACGTCCTGAATGAATGCTCATCGTCACCCCAATCGCCTCGCACTCGCACCCCACTAACACCCTTTTCCAAGTGTCGCTCTGGTGGGCATCCTCAAAAGTTACCTCTCACAGGCTCCGCCTTTGCCTCGCTTCGTAGTCGTGACGTGACGTGCACCCTCAATAAGCCCCCCGCCGCCATCACGAGCAAGCGTGAAGTGAAGTTTGCAGGTGCTGTCGATTGCCATCTGCTGCCAGTCAAGAGTCTCGCACTCGTGCCCTTGCGCCCTGAATCCGCCGCCGCCGCCGCCGCCGCCGCTCAAACTGGCCGTTTCGCTGATGCACGTGACTCACTACGCTTGACGATGTGCCTCTGAATGGATAGCATCCCAACAAGAGAATATCTGCGCTTGTTTTGTTACAGTCGATTTCCGTGAGCACGTCCAGCGTGTCGTTGCAGAGATCGATGGTTGGGTCGATGAGTGAAAAAATAATGATAGAAAAGACTCTTATTTGGGTGAAAAGGTCCGGCAGACCAGCTGCTTGGATTGGGAAGGCGAAGTATAAAATAAAAAGGGTCGTCACCGCGGGCCCCCTTGGGCACTCGAGGGTGATCCCAAATGGGGCAAAGGTGGAATGAAGGTGAAGGGGGGCGAGGGGATGGTGATGGTTGTCTCCATCGGAACCAAGCCCGCGACACGAAACATGTCGATCATTCGATTTCACGATTGGTGAGTGCGTGAGCGTGTGCGTGTGCGAGTGCGAGTGCGTGTGCGTGTGCGTGTGCGTGTGCGTGTGCGTGTGCGTGTGCGTGTGCGTGTGCGTG